TCTAAATATGCCTCATATAATGCACAAGAAAACAAGGATATTCATGAAAGCACTCCTGGGAAAAGTGGCAATCAGAAACCATCCAGTGATCATCAGTGAGTAAATACACGGTGGTGCACTTATACAACAAAATATAACACAGCAGTGAAGATCAGCGGCATAGACCTACTTTGTATTACTACAGATAAATACCAAGACCATAAAGGTGGTCTGAAGAAAAAATAAATTGCAGGTTATAAGTTGGGTTTATAAATTGAGTCTCTCTCTAAGATTTATATTATCTTTTAAAATGCCACACTATTTTATGGTTAAATACGTATTTAGAGTATAATAATGTGGATGAGAAAAATACACACTGACTTCAGAATGGAACCAAAATTGAGGCTAAAATCAAAAACAAAGGCTTTGATTTTGCAAATTATCATGATACAAAGATTCTTCAGGGACAGATATAGAAAGGCCAACGGAATGAACAACTGGACTGATGACACCTTTCATACATGGTCATTAATGTTTCCCTTTGCCTGTTATTTTCCCTTCATCTTATTCATTTCCTGATTTCTGAATATTTAAATGATTACATGGTTTCTCCAATACCCAATAGGCAACAAAATTTTTGGTTTTGGTATAATAATGTGCTTAACTCCTCAACCAAATATCATACAAAATGTTTTAATAAAAATTAATCAAAACCTTAGTTGATGAAATGTTGGAAGTCTAAGCTCATTGTTTTAGAGATTTATTTACAGTCTGTTTATAATCTAGCAACAGTCGTTGGCTAACATGCTGTGTTATGTGTTCTCTGCCTGCACAATGTGGTCGTCTTCCCAGAATGGAGCGTTTATTGGTAGTCAGGAAGGTAAGAGGTGGAGTAAAAGCCGTGAGGACACGTGTGCCAGCGCTGACGTGCGTTATCTAACTTCACCCTCACACTCACCTACACAGTATTTGCCACTAATGCTCCCTTTTTACAGATTCAGAAATAGATTATTTGAAAGGTGGCCAGGAATTGGCAGATTCTGTCTCTTACCTCTGGCTCTGGCCAGATGCGAAGATGTCTACAGCTCCTAAAGTCAAAGACTTGCACTGCTTTCACCCTATGGGCACAGGAAGTCAGGGGGAAATCAGAAAACTGCATTTGTAAACACAGACGTAGCACATAAAGGTCGCCCTCCTTCCCGAGACAGGGAGCCACTGGCAAGAAGGACTATACCGTGTGCCCCTCCAGATCCCAGCTCCTGGGAGTAAACTGGTACACACTGAGCTCTCAGTGTGTCTGCTGAAGACTAAATAAATGAGCAGCATGCACCCCAGCTCATGGCATCAGTTCTGGCAAATTCCCTGGTCCGGTATTGCACAGTGGCCTGCAGCAGCTGAGTCTCTGTGGAAGCTGTGTGCTCCCATCCCACACCGTAGAGCTAAGCGATGCAGCACCCGTGTGCTGGGCCCTCACTGTGTGCCAGGATGTGTGGGAGCTGCCACGCAGGCACACAGCGGGGCTGTAAGGCCCGATCCGGAGGGGGTGCAGGATCCAGAGGACAGCGATGTGTACACCCAGCAGGTGTTCTGACGCAGCCTGAGGTGAGATGTTATGCCAGATGTGACACAGGGAATGACAGAAAGTGGTGGACCACATGGCTCCCCCTCCTGCAGGACAGCCGTGCCTGCCCTCTGGCATGGCGTAATCTCCTTTTCCTTGGGAAAATCAGCTTGAAAACCACCTGCCCGCTCCCCTCCCCATACACACTGCTTCTGATTGGAGACAGCAGGGCACCACTGAATGGGTGAAATCAGGCCCCTTCCTTCCGCCTTCCTGGGGCCAGGGTGCCTCTCGGATGGCTGATTCCTTTGGCTGCTGCTGTTCTCCCCAGCAGCACACAGCCGTGGTGGGGAGAGCCCTGCAGTGTGCTCTGTAGGAACAGTGTGGCTGTCTCCACGGCAGCCTTCCAGAGTCCTTTCTCCCCGCCTCTCCCTCTAAGAGGTAGATGGAGAACGGGCAGCATCAGAGAATGGGTCACCGTTGGTCTGAGCCAGCCAAGGTAAACCCACCCCCCTTGCCAAGGGCACATGATCCTGTTTTGACCACCACAGGTGTCTCTTTGAAAGCTCCTAGACAACAATTTCCTCACTAATAAAATAAAATATCTTTTACAGCCTTACCTTCCTCTCTCTTCCGAAGTATGGGTTAAGAACTCTGAGTTTCCCTCCCTCAGACTCCAACTTCTATGAAAGCAGAGTGCGAACTGGGAATATACTCAGTGGCACAGAACCTTCCTGAGGTCCTGAGTTCAATTCCTGGCACCAAAAAAAAAAAAAAAGAAAGAAAGAGAGTATGGCTCATACATAACTTATTTCCACAGCACTGGCAGTGTATAGCATACTGGTTGGCTTATAATTGATATTTAATAATTATTTTGAATGATGAAATGTAGCATAAGATTGTTTCAGCTAGAAGAAAAATGCTTCAGTGGTAGTTGAGTCTTAAATTACTTATGTTGTTAATAAGAATCATAACTAACTTTCCTTGAGATTTTCTTTCCTTACCTTGAAAAGTAAATACAACTTGTTACTTCAGATACTATGAAAGTGGTTCATCTTTTTCAGGCTTTACAACTATCCTGTGAGCTGGATGTCATCATATTTGACATTTTATACATGAGTAAACTGAAACATAGGAAGTCACAGGCATAAAATGGTAATTTGAACCTCAGTTTTTTTAATTCCAGAAAGCCTGGTGTTAATAGGCTGCTGGGAGCCATCAATTCAACAATTAAATTTGACAAACAGATGTCAAACACTCATGACTTGCTCGTCTTTAGGAATATAAGGATACACAAGAGACAGTCCCAGTACAGATGACTGGGGAAGAAACTGAGCAATTAATAATACTCATAGGTGTCCTTTCTCAGAATTTCACTAAGTTATGTACTTGTATCATCTGTTTTTAATTGTCTCAATAATTTTGATCATTTAATAATGACTATGTTTGTTTTATAAATCAGGAAATCAATACACAGAGATACTAAGTCTGTGATCCAGGGTCTCAAAGCTCGGTGACAGAGTCACAATTTGTGTGCAAGCAATTTGACTTCAGAGTGGGAGCTATTATATCCAAAGCCACCATTGCAGAGTGACACGACAGATCCTATCACAGATGGGTGTATCACAGTAGTGTAGGCAGCAAGAGAGGGATGATTAACCGCTTCAGGGAGACGGAGGAAAGTTCACAGAGAAACTTGAGTCACTCCTGTGTTTTTATACGTAGAAACCGGCAGGGGAGCGTGCTTGCGTGTGCATGTGCTGGAGGTGTTGTATGTGTCCGTGTTGTCCTATGCCTGTTCACACACCACCACGCGGACAGGAGCTGCAGTAGTACCCGCAAAGTCTATTCCGGATGGCAGGAGAACAGGGTCAAGTGTGGGGAAACGAGAGAAAGAGAGCCAGAAACGAACACGGAGGTATAGAAGGAAAATCCTGAGCTCTGTCTAGTCCCACACCAGTGACTCAAAGTTCCAGCAAGAGCCGAAGCAATGGGTGGTCGGAAGCAAACAGGGACAAGCAGCTGTGTCGGTCTTAAGATTCAGTGGGTGCGGGAATCAGAACGCACAAGTACACAGCCACCCTTTCCCATACAAGGGCCAGGACGTACTCACAATTTTTATGAGGAAGCAGCTCCATACATGGAGCTAAGAGGCTCATGAGAGCCACTGACTGCTTTCTTTCCAGGGTGCAGGATCGCAGGGGAGCCTGAGATGCAGCAGGAGCAGCCAGGAAGCTGTCCCCAAACCTTAGCCGACTCAGGGAGAGAGCCCTGCTCAGACACCCAACTTGTGGGCACTCTCCTTTCTCCTCTCCAACCCCGTCTGTCCTCTCTGCTTCTTTGTCCTTGATCTACACTATTTTTCTAAGCATCCAAGACACAGCTAACGTGGTTGTGCTCAGCCACCATCTATACAAATGTAAAAGATCGTGACGGGTGGGGACAGATGTTTCCAGCCATTAAAATTTATGTGAAAACTATAAATGTGCCTCTGAAAAATGAGACAAGAAGGCTCTGAGAAATCATGAAGTCACCCCCCTGAGAAATCCAGCAGGACGGATGTATGACCAAGTTGGACAGGACTTGCTCCTTTTCCTTCAAAATTAAAGCACAATCTGTGGCTGAGGAAAAATAAGCTCCTTGGAAATGATTTTGAGGCCCATATCTACATTTCTTACACTCAGGAATTCCTGCCTTGGGTTAAGAAATTGCATAGCAAAGATATGAGCGTTATAGTTATTACAGTATGTTAGGCATCTATCCATTTGTACACTCAAATTATGTATCTTAACATGTGGTTTGGTGCCAGGTTTTATGTTCTGTCTCTTTCATCTTTTAATTTTCCAAAGAGAAAAACTATTTCTTCAGTCTTTCCACTCAGTAAATTCTGAGGGAGAGCCTACTGGATACTGGACCATGTGCTACCCCTGCGTACATGAATGACAAGCCACACCATCCTAAATCTTAATGAAGTCACAACCACTGAATCTATCTTTAGTATTAAAGTATCTGTTCACCTCAAAGGTGAATGGACTTCAACTGAGCCTGAGAATGTGGGCATGAGGCCTCCTATTCCTATGGCACCAAGACATCCCCACCTTCCAAGAACACAAAGACACCTATAATGAAAAAGGTACCCACAGGAGACAGTAAGCATAAGTGTACTCAAATAGCAATTACTATCTGGTGCTTGAAATCTAACTCCTCCTTTAGCTCTATACCCCATTATTCTATCGGTGTGACATGACACCATTAGCACAGCGGATTCTCCAAGCATATCTGTTTGTTAGTCCTTTCTATATGACAAGCAGTGAAGGATACTCAGCTATGGCCTTATTGTAAGAGGGGAAGGAGGTCTTCTCAACACAAATTTCTCACACAAACTCTGTCCTCCTCCTTGATGCATCCCTTGCAAAACTTAGGAACTGCCTCAAGCCAACTTCATTTTAAAAAGAAAAAAATGGGACATTTTGTAGCAAGCCTCAGCCTGTCTGCTTCTCAGGAGAGGATCCAGCAATGTGGCAACAGTGACCATGGAGGATCCAGCAACACATCAGGTGCCAAGCCAGCCTTCCGCGGAAAATCTCAGAAGCATGCTACCCCGAATTTCCAGAGGGAACCTTATGTCTGGGCCTCCAAGGCCAAGCACAGGGCTGCTGTACCCTTTGCGCCCCCAGAGAAACTGACCAGCTGTGTCTTTCCGAGGCCAATGACTCTCATCACTACCCACCCTGGTAATGAGGTCAGGGATGGTCCATGCAAGGTCAAGCTGGAGAAGTCCCAGCAGCTCTGTGCAAGCTGGAGGCTGGAGACGTCGAGCACCAAAGCACCAAAGCAGAACAGTTAAGTTGTCTGGGTTTTAAACCACTTTTAAAATACTGACTGTAGGAGGATCCCTGGGCCAGTTTGGTGTCAAGAGCTTGCAGCCTACTCCTGGCATATAGCTGTTGTGGAAAGAGATGATCTCAGAAGCTTTTTGTCCTTTACCTCCCTCTTGAGCCAGTGGGTCACTGCTGCAGACATCCAGAGACAGACTCGGAAACTGAAGAAAGCCAGGGAGAGACTGGCCAAGGCCTTGAAGGCAGACAGGTTGGCGGGGAGGCAGAGAGGTGGGCATCTAGGAGAAAAGAGCTGAAAACCAGATGGAAACAGGAGCAGGGACTGCTGGAGGGTCTGACTGGTGAGGCCGCTGGAGAGAGGGTTTCACTGTGAAGGACTCTGCTGATTTCCTAGGATGTCTTTTTTTTTTTTTGTACCGGGAATCAAACTCATGACTGCATGCTTGCCAGGCAGGCGCTGATGCCACTGAGCTAAATCCCAGCTCCTTATATGTCTTTTAATATCAACTGAGCCCTCACCAATAGCTCATAAAAGCCAAACTGTTCTTTATTAAACTCTTTTTATGAGACAAGAAAGAAAGAGAAAGAGAAAAAATGGCAGTGTATATTATAAGAATATAAGTATCCTGAGGCCTTAAGGGGCTTCTTCGAGGGGATGAGAGCCAGAAAATAGAAAGTAAAGACACACACCCAGTCTCCGCCTCCTTAAATATGGCCTCTCTCTGTCTGCATCTTTTCCTTCCTTCCTTCCTCCCTCTTTCCCTCCAGCCCTTCCTTCTTTCCCTTCTTTCTTCCCTTTATGCCCTTTCTCTCCCATTATAGTCTGTTTCTGGAATCTCCGGAGGCTCAGGTGTTTTATGGTTTGGTCCCAGCTTGTGGTTCTATTGGGGAGTTGTGCAACCCTCAGGAGGAGGTAGGGCCCTCGGGACATGCCTGTAAAGGATACGCTTTGCCCCCATTTCTCTCTCTCTCTCTCTCTCTCTCTTTCTCTCTCTCTCTCCTCCACAACCACATGCCTCAAATGCTTGGACCAAAACTTGTGAAACCACAAACCAAAATCAGTCTTTAAACTGTTTACCTCAGACACTTCTGTTACAGTAACAGAAAGCTAACACATCTCCACACACCACCCTTGTCTCTTCTCCCCAGAACTCCACGCGGCTTTGCTGTAGGCATGGGCAGAGAGACTACCTACCTTTCTCCACGCCAGGAAAGAGCACCTGAAAACTCAGCTTAGAAGAAACTCCAGTCTTCATCTATCCAATCGACTGGAGCCCTGGAGGCAGGCCATGGAGCACCAACATGGCTGCCATGGAAGAGGCGACAGAGTGAAGAAGGAAGTGCTCGGAATAAAGGGAGTGAGTGCTAGGGCTCCTGGGGGTGTGCTAAGGCGTGGCTGTTCTGTCACAGAAGTCTTCCTTCTGCCTGTCCGCAGCTCTGCTCAAGGTGCTCCCGGTTCTGATGGGCTCTCCTTCACTCACTGCACCATACCTTCTGTTACCTCACAGCTTATTATGGCCTTCTCTGTGTACTTGGCTTCTCTGCCACTTTATCGCTGGCATCTCTCTGAGTGGATTCCACTCTCCCAAAAGTAAATTGGGTGGGATGGGGCTGTCAACCTCAGGCGAGCTGTAGCTCCCCTTGGATCAGTCATGTATCCATTAATCCTTGATCCCATCAGCTCTGGCCAGGATAGTGGGGTTACAGGATGAAATCTAAAATTTCCCAGAAGAGAGCTATAGGTCTGGCTGTTTTCCTCAAAAGAAATCATGAGCTCATATATATTAAAAACTTACCCTTCTATAGATACTCTCTGGACATAAAACAAGCTCCTTAGGAGTCTCAATGAGCTTTTAAATTTTTTCAAATGGAGCTAGGCTAGCTTTTCACATACCCTTTAATAAAATTTCTACTGTACTATTCTATGTACTGTTGTACACCCAAGTGGCATTTGAGTAAGCCTTATTCTCTTTAGATATCTACTTCTGAATGTCTTAAAGTAAAATAGGGCAAGCAGTTGATATATTAATGGGAAAACTTCAAACATCCCAAAATCATAACATCACTACATGACTTCTCAGTTACCAAGACCTTGCAATACTGGTGGTAAGACTGTGGGTCTCCTTATAAAAGTCTCTGTAAATTACTTATTTAAACAATTAGAGACAAGTACGTAGTACAGTGCGTAAAATATCTTCTCTCTTGTTCCTCACAGAGACATACAAGCTTACAAATTTTAAATGTTACAATGCCTCAAATTTCACAATTTAAGGAAAAATATAACACATAAACACAAAGCACAGGGAAAGACCATATTACCGAAAACCAATGAGAATGTGAAGAAAAGACAGACATGTCACACAAAAGATCCTAAATATTTTGGTCTCCTAGTTACAAGCCTCATTGCCAGTTAATTTATAAGCTAAAACAATCAGTCACTAGTGAGTCCATGTGTATACGGAAGACGCAGGTCCTCTTAGCATTAGAACATTCTTTGATTCATAAGTAGTGAGAGACTAGATTCATTCCAGGAGTCAGCCCGGGCTAGGGAAAAACTCTGGGAGGGGTACTGTTACAGTTTATATCTAGATATACCCCACACTCATGAGACTTACACACTCGCAGACGGACTTCTGGGAAGTCATGGGATTATGGGGGTTTAGAGTGACTTCCCGTTCAGAGGTGGAGACTAGTGGAGGAGGTCCCAATGGGGCTGACCCAAAAGGTTATACAGCCCTTCTCTGCTCCTCTCTGGATTCTCTCTGCTTCGTGTCTTAAGCTGTGAGCAGCTCTCCACCACCATGCCCTTCTGCCATGCTATTCCTTCCTTGCAGCCAGCTGACTATGGACTAAAACATGCACCAAAATAAATGTCCCCTCCTTAATTTGCAGGTGTCAAGCATTGTATCTCATCAACAACGAAAGTAACGAAGGCAAATATGGTAGATTTTTACCTGAAAACCAAAGAAACGTTCTCCTATAAACCATTCAAGAAAAGTATCCTTTGGAGATTCATCTGCAAACCTGAAATATAAAATTCTGTTTTAATGGTAAGAGTGCACGGAGGTTCTTCCACGAGAAAGAATGCAATTCAGAATTACTCTCATGGTCAGCCCAGAGGAAGTGCTTAGAACATCCAGGTTCAGAAGAGCAGAAGTAACCTGCCCAAGAAAAAGCATCGCCCTGATTTTTGTCATCATAATCTCTTCCTGCCACAGCTCCCTGCTTTCTATCAAGTGGTATCAAACAGCTCTTGCCAAGTAGGACTCCAGTGAAAACCAAACAGTAAATAGGTCCTCATTAGCAAAATCCGAAACTAGCAATAGGATGTCCAGAAAAGCTCAACGAGAGGTATAAAAGTATCAAAATAGAATATATAAACATAAGCAATCCAATGAACTGAACCACCACAGATCTATAAAAATCCTTGATAAAGGATTCTAAAATCCTTTTAGAATGAAAAAACCATGGAAATGCACTTATCGGACTGTGAACAAATCAATAGTAGTCATATACTATGGTTTGACAATCACCACCTCAACCCAGCGCTCTGGAAGCTAATGCAAGAGGATCACAAATGTGAGCCTAGTCTGGGCCCTGAGTGGCTTAACAAGATCTTGTCAAATCAAACAAGCAACCAAAAACTAGCAAGTCAAAACTTAGTGGTGTAAAAAAATCACAACTATTTATTTAATTATTAGCTCATGATATCACCAGGCATCAGTGTGGGCCAGGCATAGATGGGTGGTAATTCACAGTCTCATTTGAGCTGATGTACATGATGGCTCTCAGCTAGCAGTTCAATAGAAACAGGTGTCACAGAGCGGCCTGCTCATAGGACTGACTGTTGGCTGGACCTCTGTCTGTCCATGTGATCTTTCATCACCAGCAAAGCTGGCCTTGGTTTCTTCCCGTGACAGCTGATTAGAGGCTGCAAGACATAGAAACCTCACAGGGGCAAGTCTCCCAGTAACTCTTGATGCCTTCTACTGGACAAGACAAGACATAGGTCAGCCCTCATGCATGATGTGAAACAGACCCCACCTTTGAAAGGAGGAAAGGCAGATTTGTAGAAATAAGCAAGGAGGTTAGCTCCATGGAGAAGAGAAACTTGTGGCCATTTAGCACAAGCCTATACATAACCAGCAAAATGCATCTTAATAAGCATTAGAATGAGCATTCTCCATAGAACCCTGGGGCTTGGAACACATAAGAGGATATTTCTAGTGTGCTCTTAAATGAATACACAAATCTCTGAAAATATAGTTAATTAGTTGTGAGCTAGATGAAAGAGGAATTGGAAAATTAAAATTGCCAATGCTTTTTTTAAAATTCAGTTAGTGACATACTGGCTCACTCTACTCAAATGCCACTATCTTTCCTCTTTTCTCCGCTTACACTGGCATGAGAACTTGTCTTCTCTAGAGTGGAGCAGAGATGATTCTAATTTTGACTAGCTATACCAGCTTCCATAGCTATCAGAATAACACTGATCATACTAGATACATTTATAAACATATAGTATATGCTTAAAAATATAACCGTGATGCTCTACCCCCACACTATCTGGACACACATAGCTACAATCCATTACCATATGGCTATGGAGTTACTCATAGTTCATCACAGCAAAACCATGGCTCTGATTTATGCAGTCTGTCTAGGAAAAGCATCCCAAAATGCCCACCTTTTAGGTTCTCCCTCCTTCCTTTTCCATCTATATGCCCCTCTCTTTTTATGAAAGGCAGCACATGTTTGCAGCTAAGTGGTTTTACCATTGTATTTCCCAACTCTCAAATTTGGGCCAGATGTGGGGAGTATGATACCCTTCCTTCATTTCATACTTTATCCCTTTAGCTGCCCTATTTCTGCCCACACAGTCGTTAAGAACCAAGGAGTCACCTGTGTGTTACAGGGATCGCTCCATTCAGCAAGAGGCTTGTCCACAGGTCTTTGCTAGATAATCCCATCTCCATTTTTGCTTTTGCTGAGATGGCTGAGGGACAATGCCTATAAACTTCTTAGATGTTCTCCTTTGATTAGGTATCTATGTGTCATACCTTTCAAGGAGGCTTTGTGTGAATGAATACTCTGACTCATCTTTCTGAGGTATTGACAAAAGATTGTACAGCTTTATTTAGCATTCTTTCCTAACACTTAAATCCTCCAATTTTAGCACCATTTATAATACAGATAGGCTGTGCGTTCGACATTTGGTTCTTCTTTGTTTCCATTTATCTTGCTCTGCTCACATTGGCACCCATAATGTTCCCATCCTTGTACCATGTTTGTTCTT